TAAACCCAAAGCAGAAGAAGAAAAAGTGACGTCAGCGGCTTCATTTGCCTAATCCTCCCCCAGGGACTTATTCCTTTGTGAACACGATCTGTACTTAGTTCATGAGAACTAAAGAGTTCTGATTAACTAAAGTGGGAAAAAGTACTACGGTGTGAAAGCACCTATTGGTGCTCTAGGAGGAGATTCAGGTGATAAGGTGTGGGGGGGGGGTTACACAAGCCAAAACATCGTTATGACATAAAGTCATAAAATCTGATCAGCTCATTTTCAGACAGGTTTTTATATACTTTCAGAATCTCTTTAAACAGAGGGGACACATGTTGATGTAGAAGAGACATGAAGAAGAGGGGACACATGTTGATGTAGAAGAGACATGAAGAAGAGGGGACACATGTTGATGTAGAAGAGACATGAAGAAGAGGGGACACATGTTGATGTAGAAGAGACATGAAGAAGAGGGGACACATGTTGATGTAGAAGAGACATGAAGAAGAGGGGACACATGTTGATGTAGCAGAGACATGAAGAAGAGGGGAAACATGTTGATGTAGAAGAGACATGAAGAAGAGGGGACACATGTTGATGTAGAAGAGACATGGAGAAGAGGGGACACATGTTGATGTAGAAGAGACATGAAGAAGAGGGGACACATGTTGATGTAGAAGAGACATGAAGAAGAGGGGACATATGTTGATGTAGCAGAGACATGAAGAAGAGGGGACACATGTTGATGTAGAAGAGACATGAACAAGTGGATTTTGCATAATAGGTGAAAAAAACAAAACGTCTCTCCTACTTGTCTCGGCGGTTGCAGTCTGGTTTTCTCCACCTGGCTCTTGCTGGATGAACAGGAAGTTGTCGGGGCGGTAGGTTTGCTCGGCAGCACGACACCGAGTGCCGCCCTCCCCCGAAGCCCCGTCCTGAGCTGAGGCTTCCCCCCCGCCATGGAGGTGGAGGTGCCGAGTCTGGAGGTGGATGCGGGGCGGGAGGATGAAGGGAGGGTAACGGAGGAGCACCGGGTGGTGGAAGCAGGTCTGGTGGATGGCACAGGGTTGGTGGTTAAAGGTTGGGTGGATGACATAGTGTTGGAGCTGCTTCCTTTGAGCAGGCGGCACCGCACGGCGGGCGGCAGCTGCTTCATGGGACTGTCCTGCACGCAGAAGGTCTCCCGTTTGATGGGGCTCAGAGCACTCGGGATGTGATCCAACATGCCCAGTTTGGCCTCAGCGTCCTGGACAAACTCGTCCCTGTGAGATGTGGTGTTGACGATCACGTCGGTGGCCATGTTGGCGGTCACGTTGGTGGCCATGTTGGCGGTCACGTTGTTGGCCATGTTGGCGGTCCCGTTGGCGCTCTGATTGGGTTTTCTGTCCTGCAGCTGGTCGGCCAGTCTGTGTGCTTCCTGACACACGGCGTCCAGCTGATCTCCGCTCAGAGGACTCCAGCTCGCACGCACGCCGCCGACATTCTCAAGATGCGACGCCACGTTTACAGAGACGCACCTCTCCGTATGGCTGACCGGACCCATGAACACCTCATCCTCATCTTCATCACCTTTGGAGCTGCAGAGAGAAATGTCAACTTTTAGATAGAACAACTTTTTCCATTGTTCTGTGTTTGTTTATTTTTAAAATCAAGGTTCAAGGTCAGTTTATTTGTATAGCACATTTTAAGAAACAGAGGCAATTCAAAGTGCTTCAAATAGGCATTTCTAGTTCGTGTTCAAAAGGTGTATCGTATCCTTGTAAAGAAAACATGTTATAATTGCTTTTGTTTAAAATGTTTATTAATGATTATGCATGGATATCATAATTGTACAAAGCTTTGGCAATACTGTATGTCATTATGGTCATGCCAATAAAGCTATTTAAATTGAATCACAGCTGAGAGGAAATTACCTGGCAGGTGACAGAGAAACATCGAAGTCAAATTTCTCATCAGCCAGAAAGAACATATCTGTATGGAGACATAAACACGGGTTTAAAAGAGGTAACAAAACAAATGGTGTTAGCTGTGTTTAAATGCACACAGACTCTGGCTTAGTTAGTGTTAACCTACCGCTGTTAGCTCGACAGTCCATCCCGATGTTGTCTCCTCTCTGTGCGATACAGATTGATCCAGATCACACCTGCAGCAAAAGTACATTAACACATGTTATGATATTGTATAATAACTTCTGACAAACAGAGGTGGAAGAAGATCAGATCTTTTACTTGAGTAAAAGTAGGACTCAGATGTTGTACTTGAGTAAAAGTAGAAGCACCAGAGTGTCTGTTATAGTAAAAGTGTCTGTTACAGTAAAAGTCCTGCATTCAAAATAGTTCCTCAAGTAAAAGTAAGAAAAGTATTATCATCAAAATATAGTTAAAGTAGCGACAGTAAAAGTAGTCATTGTGCAGATTGGTCCATTTACAGAATAATATATATGATATGTTTTATAATGA